GAGGACTACATTTTTGATAGAATAGAGACTGGGAGGGCCTTCCATCCCATGATATTTGGATGCTGATGAAATTGATTCAAGGCAAAATCATCTCAGCTTCCTATTTAGTAAGTGGACAAATGGGCCTGCTGTTTCTTAAAGACTTCCCTGGTGACTTTCCAGAACCTTTCACTTTTATACATAACAATTGTACGTATCTGTGGCTATTTAGACACATTCACACACTCAACACTATTCAATTCCAGAATCTTTTCATTGGATTCATTGGTGAACATTGTTTGGGGCAAATGTCTTGAGAAGTCCCCATGTTTGGATAGCACCCAGACCTCTGTGAGCTTTCTCTTACTTAGGAACCATCTGAACTACCCCTGCCCTAGCTCTTAGGCAATTTCTTTCTCTAGTAATATATCTCAGAGGGGCTAGAAAGCTACATGTGATTATTTATATGCTACTTCTACTGATGGACTTCTGAGGACAGGCAGCATGTCCTTGAGAGTTACAGTCCTCTTCTGATAAGCAGGGAATGCCTGGGTCAGAGGCTGAAAACTGAAGGTGAAGTTGATCACCTGGATGGATGCTACGGCAGGCAAGTCAGACAGTAGGATGGCTTGTCACACCCACTTCAGCTGGGACATTATTTCAGTGAACTGAAGAGTTGGAAATCCTCTTCGCCTCTCTTTGACCCTCCCTGCTTTCCGTTCCTACTCCCCTCTCCTCTATCCTTGTTCCCACGTTAGAATTTTTTTTTTGCCATCCATTTAAGTACACAGTATGTACTTGACACTGTAGAGGACTGTGGGCACAGTGACATCTCCAATAACCTGGGTTATCAACACTAATGAGCTGTCTTGGGTCTTGACTTTATCTTAAATTTCCTTTGTTCCTTCCATCAGGTGTTTCTCTGGCTCAGAGAAAAGATAGCAGACAACCCAGTGGATGCATGCATACTCTGAGAGCATGTTGGATGTTCAGTGAAGATTTTGCTAGTGAGGTCTCTTGGAAGCTTACCCTATCTTCTGTACAATGGAGTGGAGGCAGTGAGTGACCTCTGGGATCTCTCAGTGCTATGAAGTCCTGGAGCAGCTGTATAGCACAAGAGAACACCAGAGTCTGGGAGAGCAGACAAACAACAGTGCTCGCCGGTTCCTGTTCTTACATGGTCTCAGGATGCCAGAGAGGCATCCTAATGCATAGAATAGAAAAGGACTGCCTCTTCAAGGCAATGATAAGTCATAGCCATCTGCACCTTGTCACCTGGAAAGCTGTTGCTACAGGTTTGGGATAGGAAAATGAAGATAGAGATTGGAGTGTTGTCTGTGCTACTTGCTGGGGTCTGGATTTGGCTAGACCTTCACCTTCAGTTGACCAGCAGATCCTATGTCCCTGGGTCACCATAGGGTCTACATCTCTTCTGCTGTGCATGTGGCTTCACAGGAGTGATGTATTTCTGTTTTTGACAACTCCCCCAACCTTCCCACCCTATCACAGTTTGAACATACTGATGGCTAGAGCTGTGTGTTGTTCATTTTACAATCCCTAGGGCTCAACCCAGGAACTTTAAGGACTCTGAAAAGGGTGAGAAATGATTATAGTAGGAAAGACTCTGACACCACATCCTTCATCACTCTCCATCCTATGTTTGAGGTTATCCTCCTTTCATCCATTGTTCTAGTCAGCCTGAATGGAAGAGCAGCAATGAGACCTGAAGCCTCTCACTCTAGCTCTAAGGCTTGAGCTGTCTGTCGGAAGGGAACTTCTGACTGAGCTTCTCAAACCTGAGTGTCTGGAAATCATGGGAGGGCTGATTTTAACACAGGTGAATGTCCCTCAAGTCTCAGTCCTATCCCCTAGAGACCACTGCAGGAGACATAACCCTTACCCTGGATGTGTTGTGATAACCAAGAGTGCAATGCTGTGTTTCTTCTTGATGGAGGATTCTTAGTGGGAACAGATTAGTGATGTGTGGGAACAGAAAACCCAGCACACATGTCACTTGGTATCTACAGGGTATTAGTTTCAGCTCTTTATCCTCATGGGTTCCAAAATCTATGAACACTCAAATCTCCTGTAACAAATACATCTGTATTTGTGTCTAACTTGTGCATTACTCCTGTAGACTTTAAATCTATGTTGATTACTTCCAATAACTAATACAATATAAATACGATGCAAACAGTTGATAGCATGGCTTAGGGAATAAGGACAAGAAAACACTGCATATGCCCAGTGCAGAACATTTCTGACCTATGGCTGGTTGAATCCACAGATAGAGGAGACCAGATGTATACTGGTCACTAGAGTCCAGGAGTGACAGCAGGTTTGAAGTTCAATTCTGAATTCAAATCTAGCTATCACAACTTAGTATTTCTGTGATGATGACCATGGTGGGCCACCTCCTTAGACTATTTTCCATACTTATAAACAGGAACAAAGATATATGTTTTAGGTAAAACTTGTGAATGTTGCATTTACATACTCCTCTTGGGATGTCTGGTGCATGCTAGTGCCAGATAATGATTGAGTGTGGTCTCAATTGAAAAGCACTCACCAGTGTTTCTGCTTCTATGTTCATAGGAAATTGAACACAAGAGAAATGGTAGTTGTCAATCTAGCCAGGCAAATACCTTGAAAGGCTGCAAGGCTCTCTTATCTTAGGCTTGTAGGCAGATTACAGATGTGGGAATGGTCTGCATTGCCTGGGTCATATCATCCATGCGTGCCCTAGCATTAAGCTTGGTAATGCACCTTGCCAAGAACCTGGTGGACATTTGAACTTGGAGGAGGATGGAGAGTTAATACCAATGCTTAATGACATGAAAGCAGCAAGAAGTGAACACCAAGGCTGTTTTCTATCTTACTAATAAAGATGGCCCTGCGGTTTATCATGTTACAACTAGCTGGATAGCCTCAGGGAGGATTTTTAGTCTTTTCACCCTTGAATGGGAGACTGAGAATATGATTGGCAGTGTTCAGAGCTGCTTAATGAGCTCTTGAAATGCAACCTAGCATATATTGAATATTATGAGTATTATTTTTGAGAATCTACTATGGTCCAGGAACAGTACAGAGACCACTGATTCACTCTTCAAATATCATACGGTTTGAGTGCAGGGGATTCAGCCATAAAGAAGAATCAACTTTTCCCAGAAAATATTTCTAAAGCCCACAGCTGGAGACAGCCACCAGAAGCTACACCATTAGTTAGCAGGATGGCTGAGGCTTTAGCTCAGGCCTGGACGAGGACTCGATAGGCATGGTGACACTGCCCATCAGCAGCTTCCACCCTCCTCCATTGCTCAATGCCAGTGATTGTCATTTTATGGGAACTGAACACGTTGGTTTAACAGATACTAACATAAGAGAGTGGACTGAAATATGTCGTTTTCAGACATTTTAATTTGATTTATATATCTCAAAAACTAATTTATATTCATATAATGCTTTCATTATAAAATATGCACTGGTACAGAGATTTGTGTGAATATGGGAATTTAAAAAGATTGGTTTATAAATGGCCTGGAACAGGTTGCAGAAGCATCATCAGTTGCTCTTTTTAATATATCTTGAGCATGCTATGACACATCCTGAAATAATTTGCTTCTGAAAAAAAGAAAAAAAAACCAACACTGCTCTCCTCTCTCTCTGTCTTTTCTCCCAAAAAATGTAACTGTAAATATTACTTTGATGTATGTAATTGCTTCAACCCTCTCTCTTGGAAGGAAGGCTTCTAGCCCTTCCATTTCCTATCTCTTGCTTTTGTCAAGAAATAAGAAAAACAGACTTAAAATGCATTATTCAAATGTGTGTAATGTAAACATTAAAGAAGTTTGAGCACAGCTACAAATTTCCCTTTTCTTAAAATGTTTGTGAAAAGTAACTTGTCTATTCTGTCTTGAGGGCATTTGTTCACTCTGCACAGGGAGTTCAGTTATTCCAGCATGCCTTAGCATCTCAGAGCTGTGGCAGAGGGACACAAAGTAGGACCTGGAGAACACATGGAGAAGATTGACTTGAACTAGATGAGGGGTGCCAACATTTGATAGATAAGGAGACCTTGGGTACTGCTGGGAAGAGAGATCATCTCTGTAGGACTTGGGTGAATCACATGTTCCAAGCACCAGGTTTCAGTGCTAGGGGCCACAACCCATTATCTCAGTCAATCAGGGGGGACAGATGATCCCTAAAGTGTTTCTCTTGGGCTGTCTAGAGACCTGGGTGGACTGTAAAGAAGCCCTGCTCAGCAAAGCTGTGGAGATCAGGGCCCCATCATTCAAGGGGTGTATCACACACTATCTGTATGGCCAGCCCACCTCAAGTCTTTTCTTCACCTTTGTGAAGTAATCCAATGAGAATAACATTGTTTTTGTGTGTATGTGCGTGTGAATGAGTCTGTGTGTATTTGAGTCTCTCTCTGTGTGTATGTGAGTCTCTCTATGTGAGTCTTTTTCTGTGTGAATGAGTCTGTGTGTACTTGAGTCTTTCTCTGTGTATGTGTGTGTTATGAGTCTGTGTGTATGCCTGTGTGTGCACACATGTGCGTGCATGAGTCTGTGTGTATTTGAGTCTCTGTATGTGTATGTGAGTCTCTCTATGTAAGTCTTTCTCTGTGTTTGTGTATATGAGTGTGTATGAGTGTGTGCACAAGTCTGGGTGAATTTGAGTCTCTCTGTGTATGTGTATGAGAGTCTATGTGTATTTGAGTCTCCCTCATCTCTTTCTCTCTCTCTCTCACTGTGTATGAATCTGTGTGAATTTGAGTCTCTCTTTGTGTATGTGAGTCTGTGTGGATTTGAGTCTCTCTGTGATGTGTGTATGAGTCTGTGTGGATTTCTTTTTCTCTGTGAGTCTGTGTGTAAGTTTCTCTTTGTGTGACACTGTATGAATGTGTGCGCCTGTGTGTTATTCTCTGTGTGTGTATCTATGAATGTGTGATGGTCAGTTTATCTGTCACAGAATTAGAACTTTCACTCCTCTAGTAATAAATAAGTAAATATTCTGACCTATTTTTCAGCAGAGAGAAGTTCTGGGATCTCAAATCACTGAATCCTTCTTTTGTTGTCCTTTTATTGCCCCTGGGATGAGAGAAAATACATTATAACTGGGAAACAGCAAGGAGCTGGAGGAAAAAATTAATGAAGTGCATTCATTCATAGAAACAGCCCCCCTCCCCAGTCGGATTGAGTAATTAATGCCTCACATATCTTTCTGACTCGATCTTTGCATTTCCACTGGGGCTAGAAACATGTTTAAAGAAACTTAATTACTTAAAACTGTTTTAGAGGGCAGGATTCAGGATGGAAGAAGTAGTCGGGTCAAGGTGAAGATTGAGTCTGTCTCTCCCACATCAGTGTCTCACTTACAGTTATCTTCTTCAAGCTCCATGAGTGCCTCTGCTCATCTATAGAGAAGAGCATGGACCTCTGCTGTAAGCTTGCCAGAAGGATGTTAAGCTACTGTGGGGACAGCGACTTGAGCCAGGCACAAGTCTAGCTGCTCTACTGTGTCAGCTGAATTTGAGAAAAGTCTAGCAAATATCATCCCACGTAGAAAGGCAGACTATTTAGCAAGCACAGCTCTGATCCAAGTAATGTTTAGGCACTCTGCTAAGGCATTTTTCCACAAAGACATTAAATGATTTTTAAATTGAGTTAATTTGTTAAAATTCATTAAATACATTTACTATCATAAGCCATCATTGTTATGCATCTTTAGCTCATCTAATTAGTCCGGTTCAGCAGACTCTCTTTTCTTTGCAGACATTCCCTAGGCTTTACCAAGTGCTTCCTGGGGATTTTTTTCTTGAACAATTGCTCCATGACAACTAGTTGGTTAGTCAACCTAACTTCACAAACCCACTCTTCTCTCTGCCTGGGTTAACTTGTCTCTTGGCCCACGAACACTCTCTATTCCTTGCCATGAAGCACTTTCTGAGACATGGCTTGTCTTCTCTCTTTAGCCTCTCCTTCCACATCAAGTCCATTCTGCTTCTGTCAAGCACTCCCCCCCTCCCCCCTCCCCCAGCCTCCCCACC